GTGATCCACCTGCAGGTGGAATCGGGCACGTTGAGCTGGGAGAGCTTGTCCTGGAGCAGGGATGGCAGGATTGTGTTGAAGGCAGAGCTGAAGTCCACGAACAGGACCCTGGCGTAGGTCCCCGGGGAGTCCAGGTGCTGTAGGATGTGGTGGAGGGCCAGGTTAATGGCGTCGTCTACAGATCTGTTGGCTCTGTAGGCGAACTGCAGGGGGTCCAGGAGGGGGGAGGTGAGGGACTTGAGATGGGAGAGAACCAGGCGTTCAGCCACCAGGACACCCTGCCATTGTCACACCTGCCTCATTAAAGACTCTACACATCAAAATGTCAAAAGTGAGGCTTACTTGAACAGAAACAGTTCAATTCAAAGAAAACCCTGAGTGACATAGGCAAGCTTTAAATAAACTAACAATAAATGAGTAATATCTACTTACTGGGAAAAATCTATTTAAAATAACTTGATATCTGAAGTAGGATTGAAGTTAGGGTTTACAGTGTACCTGTAAATAAAAAATACTTATTTACTTTCTTAAATGAGTACATGAATTTCACTAAAAACAATCTATGTCCCCTTTAAAAACCATGTCAATGATTTTAATGCCTTGTGTGATTGTTTCTATCTTACTCTGTTCTGCACTTTGAGTTTTACTTCTGTATGAATTGTGCTATACAAATAAACTTGCATTGCCTCAGTCTTATTTTTGTACTCCCACCGTACAATTTCAGGCATTTCACCTTCCATGCCATCACTTAACCCCTCGGCTCCCCACATCTAAAAAAAAAATCAGACTCTAGACTGACCATATGGGAATGTTCTTACATCTGACAAAACAGGATCACACGTTCACCGCAAGCTTAGACACCGTTGGACCGTTCTTCCAGCGCGTGATGCAAGAAATACCACATCTGTCTATCCCCGACAAGAGCAGCCATCCGAGCGCTGTGCTGACCAGCGGAGAAGACTGAGAGGGAAGAAGGAGGCTGCACACACCATATGTCGCTGGACTCAAAAGACTACACTTAACGGCGAGCGCAGGAGGTCAGAGGAGAGCTTTTACAACAGCCTTCGTTCCCATACGGAAATTACAGCCGGCAGGTGAGGAGGAGGTGGAGACCTTTCACCACCCGGTCTGGTGCAAAAAGGAAAATATGTGTCGCCATTTGCATTACTGAGAAATGATTATGCTGGAAAATATAGGGTGAGAACGCGCGACAAATGGCGTTTAACCCATTCCCATGTTCAGAGATTTCACAGTCAGCTCTTTTAAAAGTAAAACACTCCATTTGAATGATGGTAATAAGGTGAAAAGGTTGCATTCCTGTTCTAATTAAATTTTAGTCAGGGGGCAGGTCACAATACAACTCCATGCGAAAGAAGAACATGTCCACTACTACCGTTTACGTTTATGATTTATGCTTGATGTGACATGGGTTCCGAGGCGTTTTGTGTTGCCTTGTGTCGGAAAGAGCTCTACAAATTAAAGTTGATTGATGGATGCTTTCCCAGATAATCATCTGATAATAATTAGATTCATAAACCCGTCGCATTATTCTCATGTCTGAAAGTCTGTTCTACTAGCCAACATCCAGACCTCATCACGAAGTATCTAGACGTTAGTTCATATGTAATGACAAAGAAGATTTGTAACTTTTTTTGTTTTATGTGAATTGCCCCAGGAATTGGGGAAATTAGATAGAAACTAGAACCTGGATATCTGACCAGGAACAATGTTTTAACTGCCCCATTTGTTTTATTCCTCTTGTAAAGTACAGCCATGTGAGTCACGATATATACCATAGTCAGAAACTCTGTCCTCCTCCTTACATGTCCCAGATGTGGAAGGACCTGCCGCCACCGCATCGGCCTCCATTCTCACATGTGTCAATGCCGATAGTCTTCAATACTGAGTGACCACCATTATTATTATCATAGACAAGCCAATTGGCCATGTTTATTCAGTCTTAATAAATTCAGGCCAATTTTACTTTCAGAAATACACATCTGACTTGACGCTGGGCAGAGACCGTTCCTCAGCATGAATACATCCAAATTGATTGCGTAGTATTCACTTAGATATCCACCAGAGAGGGATCCTTTCCAAGTCTTTAACCCTCCCACAAACCAGATTAAGGATATCATAAGACTTTCTCATGAGAAATATCAATCTTTCCGTTTTGTCTTTGTTTCCCGCCATCGCATCTGCCGAAACCTTCAGCTGTGTTTCTGAAGACATCCATGAGAACAGGCAGCGGAGCGGACGGCTGGGAGGAGGCATGGTGGGGGAGACGTGGATTCTGGCTAAGGGCGCATTGATATGACAGCTTGATTTTCTAGGCTCTGGTCTGAAGCAGCATCCTTCCATTATAAGGCCTGTGACATCCAGCCTCTGCTCCTCCACATCCTCCTACACACACACCACACATCTCTCACACACACACACACACACACACACACACACACACACACACACACACACACACACACACACACACACACACACACACACACACACACACACACACACACACACACACACACACACACACACACACACACACACACACACACACACACACACACACACACACACACACACACACACACACACACACACACAAAAAAAAACATTCAAAAACTAAAACAAATAATTATTTGTTATGTTAGTTGATGAGGAATATTTTACGCTGCCCAACCATTTGTCAAGTTATTTTACCTAAACAACAACATAGACACAGCTTTTGAATAACATGCATTTCATTTGCCAATGTTTGTGTTTTTCATCCTGTAATACTTGGTCCATGCTGCCAAATTTTCTGCGATCACATTGGCTTTAAATCATCACGGGTCATTAATAGATATTAATTTAAGTTTCATCAATCAATCAATCAATTTCTTTATTTCAAACCTGCACAAACATTTTTAACACTAGTACAGTTATATATTCATGGTTTGAAAAGGGGGTTGGCAAATTATGATTTTCCAATTCAAAGACATTTTAGATCTGCAACTTTACTATCTGCAAGTGGCAATGGAGCGCCAACAATGAAATATGTTGGGAGTTGTGCCATCTATGGTACCCATACATTATCCACATTGCTATAAAAAGCTTTAAAACACAACATAACAAAGAGTTGGCAGATCCAGGTTCGAGTTGATGCAATAGAGTGAGTTGGAAAATAAACTTTAGCTTCCATTGCCCACATTACTTGGGACTGCCCATTTACTTTGCATACATGGAAGGTGGCCCATCCTAGTACAATGCCATATTCGGTTAGAGTTCATGTCTGTACAGTAAGATTGTGAAGTTCAGCCTGACCCTGTGTAGCCGGGGGCCAAAGACCACACTATCCTGCAGAGCTACGAGCACACAGGGTCTCTGTGTGTCACCCCTTGTAATTCATGTTGTCAGAATGCATTAGCCACATAGCCAAGCCCGTGCCAGACCAAGCCAGGCTGTGTAAACAGAAAAGAAAAATTTTGGTGTTGGAGCAGTGAAAATTGAAATAAATGGGTGGTAAATTAATTTGGAATTTAGCATTCTCTGGGCAGTCTGCAGCGGCGTTTGTGAGTTGCACCACCTGGTTGGATTTGGCAACAGAACGGCTCAATTTGTCTGAAAAGCTAAGTTGGCATAAGGCTTTTTCCTGCAGCACTAACTAAACCCATGCCATCAGGAAGTTTTCCACACAGGAGGAGGATGGCCGTGTTAGATTTGGGTGTCAGGAAGTATAAATCTGGTAAGCCTACATAAAAGTGATCATAAATCTGCTTTATATGGAAGCGAGTAATTTTTGAAGCACTTCACAAAGTAGAGAGGAAAACCCCCGGGTTAATAGTGCAAAGAATATGGCTAAATAACATCCTTGCAAAGTCATTGCAAAAACTGTACCATATTGACATAGTAATCAGTTCAAAATATAATGACAATATTGACAATATTGTAATCATAAAACATTTTGATAATCTTATAAGATTTTCAAAATATGCAACGACATCACCATGAACGTTCACATTATGAAAGCAAGCAGTACAATCATTATATTATATTTCTGTGCCAAAATGCCTGTGTAATGCTGCCAAATAATGTGTATCACAGGTTTGAAAATATCTACAAAGTAACAGTATGTGTATATTCCGGAGAAGTTAGGGATTGTCAAAGCCTTTTTGAATGCAAGAGACTCGGAGACCAAAAAATGGAACATACATAATAAAACTTGAGGTTTCACACTGGTGATGGTACATAGGAAGATGGAGGCTCAGGGGCTGATGGATCTGCTGCTGTTGTATAAAATGAGACAGTTGTTGACAAAGGTCAGACATAGACATGGTTGTTCAATGCGGCACGGTGGCTGAGTGGATAGCACTCTCGCCTCCTCAGCAAGAAGGTCCTGGGTTCTCGAAATCCTGGCCGGACCGGGGCCTTTCTGAGTGGAGTTTGCATGTTCTCCCCGTGTCTGCGTAGGTTTCCTCCGGGTACCTCCGGTTTCCCCTACCACTAAAAATATGTACAATAGGTCTGGCATGTGCCTCCTGTTACTGGCCCGCTCCCATCTCTGTGTGTGAGTGAGAGACAATATGCCCCAAAAATAACAATTGTAAACCGCTTTGTGACTCTGGTCTGTGAAAGGCGGTATATAAATAAAGATTACTTACTTACTTACTTACTTCAAGTGTTTGGCTTAAGAATACAGCAACAAATTCCAAAACAATAAACCAGGCATGTTGTACGCCACATTAAAATGCAGTCAACAAGAGTGTGATATGGAGTGTTGCCGCACGCTCTCTCCCCAATCAGCCGAACAATGGCGAAGTTTGTCTAGGGGAGATATCAAAGCCTGAGTGGGTGGAGGCTGATATGTAATTAAATTCATGTGCCGAGTAGCCAGAGGAGACATGCCTCCTTGCCGCGCATACATGCTCACAGATAAAAGGGGAATACCGAGGGGAGAATCGAGGAGAATCCCAAACAAATCCAAGGATCAGGTCCCGGTGAGACTGAGGATGGGTGGGGGGTGTGGACTGGGTAAGGTTTGAAAGATGGAGAGTTAGCGTGCGAGCTTCTCAAAGTGGTCACTGGAGACGCTGCAAAGCCGTAGGGACCTCCAGGATGTGTGTAACTGTGTGCGCCAGAGAAACAATGTGTAATGCAAATGAAGCCAGTCCATATGGTAAGTGTGCCAATGTATGCAAGCAAACATGACTCCACAGCACAAAGGCCAAAGTCACTTTACAAATTGACATAATGACAGCAATTGGAGCTGGTTGCAGGCTGATAACTACCTGTTCCAAGTGGATAATGGATCCAATTTGGCCAATTCAATATCTATGGATTATAGTCTAATGGACCTTTGGATCTTTTCAACAATCAAAAGCCAGTTTACAAATATTGTTTGGTCGATTTAAGTTGGCCAAAATATAAATAATTAGAATTTTCTTACAAAGTCATGGCTGAGGTTAAGTCACATTTAGTCATGTGGAGGTCTCTCAACATTCTTTAGTATTTTCTAGAGTTTTCTCGAGTTACTCCGATCAATTGCCCACTGGTCGTGATCGGGCTGATCCCAACAAAAATCACATCGTCACTCTTCAAAGTGAAACTATGACTTGTGCCGATTGGGCTCATTAAACCTGTATGTATTTTTGTTTTAAGTCTTTACATATATGTTCAAAAAAATCCTTTGTTTCACAAAGACAATGTGACCAGAATCAACCTCTGATGTTATTGAAAATACAACTTTGATTAGCAACATAACAATGGTGTCTGCTCTAGATTTAAGGCCAATAATATAAAAATAACCCACAGAATATTGTGTACTATGACTATCTAAAATGGACTGTCTACTTTCATCAGCAAAAATAATTTTGTTTCTAGCTTGTTTCGTTCCCCTGTAATCCCCAGTTGAGTAGAGGGAAGTTTTACTGAAATCACCAGAAAGCTGAGAAAAAAGAGGCACCACATGTGCATCTAACTGTTTTCAAACCATTCAGAGAGAAATGCTGCCACCTGCTGGCTAGATAAAATATGGTCTCAAGCCAATCCTCATACACATTAGATACAATAGACATCTGGGAACGTGAAAATAGCGGGACATGCAATGGCAGACAACGTTACTATTTGGTTTGACGTGTTAACACGTCAATGGTGGTCAATGAGTTAACTGTAGAAAGTTAACTTTGCCGTTACATAAAGGTCCCATTCAATGTCAATCTTTATGCTCATTAAGCCTGATATGTTTAGCCAAAATCTGCAAACCATCAATGAACTTTCCATATTTATTGACTGCCTCACAATGCGAATCCATTCAGTCCATATGTTTTGTGCCTCCCCTTCCTCGTCCCCTAGCAAACATGTCTCCTGCAGCCCTTCTTCTCATTCACATGCTAAAATCCACCCTCCTCCTCCAGAAAGGGAAGAGCGCATCGAATAGACTCAAAGGACAAGTGAGCGGAGTGCGCGGCGGAGCCAAAATGTCCGCTTCTGCAGCTCGCGATTAGCATTCGGCATCACCGCGGGAAGCATTTAGCAGTCTAGTCCTTATCAACGAGCTGAAACCCTGCCTCCTACGCCAGGTCACCACTTCTACCACAAGCCATTATCTCCTCGTGCGCCCACAAAGGTTCATCCCAATACCAAGAAGAAGCGTCATTAACACCCTAGAAAAAAATAAAATAATTAAAAAAGGGGAGAGAAGAGACCAGGAGACACGCAAAAGAGAAATTAATCAGAGCAAAGTCCCGCGGGACAGAGTGTGCTTGTGCCGAGATTGTCTTTTTTATCCGGAATTTTTAGGCTCCTTTCTTTCGGACGGGCTGCCGGGGCACCTACGCAGTTTGCCCGCTGGAGATGAGAGGAGAGGGAGCGAGGGAGCAGAGAGAAATAGAAAGAATTATGTGAAATCAAATATAGACTTGCAGGGGGGAGGTTCGGCCGGGTTCACGGAGAGGATAGTTAAAAAATGTGAGCTTACGGAAAATGAAAAAATGGGAACTTTGTTTTGAGTTCTGACCAAGAGGAGTGAACGTTTTTTGGGGGTGGGTTTGAACAGCGATGAAGCGTTTTAGGGATGCAGTCGATCAGGGAACATGCTCATGCTGTTAGATTAGATGATTATGAATGGGTGTAGAAAAAAGTCATGTAATTAGACCCAATAGACCTCAATTTGTGCTGGAAAAAAATCAAATTATACAGAAAAGAAAAAGATTAAATGAAAAATTCACTCTCAAATCATCTGCCATCTCCCTCTGAAGCTTCTCTGATATCAATCAAGAGATAAGATAAAACTGTATTGATCTCACAACGAAGAAATGAACATCTTACATTTGGCTTTTAAAAGATCTCTCAAGGTGTGCAGACAGATGGGGAGTGTGCAAACATGATAAAAAGTCAAAAAAAATAACATAACAAATGCAGGTCGTCATTAAGTGACTTATTGTACAGTCTGACAGCGTCGGGGATGTCAATCAAAGCTCTTTCATACGGAACATTCATTCATGATACACCTTGTGCGCACTGGGGTAGTCTTGCACAGTTTTTCCAATGTGGTTTTAGTGCAAATGGCAAATAAATTCTTGAATCTTGAAACACAACCTATAATGACCATGGATCTATCAAACTGACCCTGACACCAAGATTACAATCCCACTAAAATCCATGTAATCTGAAAGAAATGGATCTGTCGACCCACAGAATAAATACTGCTTAATTATGACCATCTACGGAAGCAGAAGTCGTTATCCACAGTACATTACAACAGTCCAACGGTACTTACTTCAATTGACAAGATTTCCATACAACAGAATAACAGATGTTCCCAATTATAATACTTATAGCAGAATGTACAGATTTTCCTTCTTCAGATAAGAGAAGGAGCCAGCATTCCAGTCTAGTGGGCCATAATCATTCATCATATCCTCGAGGGAAAACTACACAACGTTAATATATCTATTTAAGTCAACATTTTAACAACATGTCCAGAAATGGTTATGACGAGACTGCCAATTAACGGGATGGCTTATTATTTAGATGAATTGATTAGCTGTTTAGATCCTGAAAGGTCAAGTGAATATGATATTTTTGATGTGTTTGACATAAGACAAAGCTCAAGTGAGCCTCTGTAGAACACCTTCATAGAGATGACTTACACATTGGGTTGTTTAATTAAAAATACATTTTCATTTCAGCTTGCAGTCATTATGGAGTTATCCTAGTCATAAAACCTCTTCTCCTTATGCTTGCAGTAATCGTTAATCGGATAGTTATCGATTACCTTATTACTTTGTGACTTCATCCGTTTCAAAACTATGTAGAGCAGGGGTGCTCACACTTTTTCAGCATGCGAGCTACTTATAAAAGGATCAAGTCAAAAGGATCTACAAAATCTACAAAAAAACTACAAAAATGCAAATCATATATTTCAAAAAATATTCTTTATATCTACAATGTATGTTTATGTACATGCAAAACCGCATGAGCCATTATAGCACAACACAACACAATTACCTATGTAAATTTGTCATTACCCGAGTTTACTCTGATGACTTGCACTGAACTGAATCGGCCAGGGATGCATAGTCCGGAAAATTGGTGGCAACTCGCTGACAAGTTTATCGTGGTTTAGCTTTCCTGCACTGAGCGCGGTTGTTTGCGCATGTGCAGTCACCTAAGTGTCAGTAAAACATTACTGAGTAAAACACAGATGTCATTTGACTGTGGTGCCATGTCCATGTGCCATGCCTGTTTTTTTTAAATCCAAATATTTCCCCTCCTCAGTTTATACAATAATTTGCATCCACACATCTGCGTTATCAATCACATTCGTAACATTCCAAACATGTGCGTCTCTTACGTCCTGTCCTGCGTTGGGGAAAAACACAGAAGTGGGCGGAGCTTTGATGCAGACGCCGGTAACGGCACTTTTACAGTCATAGAAGAAACTCAGGGTAAAGACGTATGTTTACAAGCACTGACCCCGTCCTCAGCCCTGGTTTAGTCCTGGTTTAGTCCTGGTTTAGTCCTGGTTTGGTTGTTTTCGAGCGTGAGTCCCCGCGATCACTTTGTTGCCCTCTGATGTGGAGCGAGGATGTTCACTGCTGCGAGCATCTCACAGCGAACAGTTTTTAAGGTAGTATGATCCATGCTTCAGTGATCAGAGGAATTTAGGGGGGTACTGTGGCGTGCGAGAACGCAAAACTCCGGTTATCTCTGTCTACACACAAATGCATTAACGGAGTTTTCAAAAATCTCCACTTTGCCCGGAGTTTTTTGTATATATTTGTTTAGAATGTGTAATTTTTTATTTATTTAATGCGATCTACCAATACTACCTTTGCGATCGACTGGTAGATCGCGATCGACGTATTGAGCACCCCTGATGTAGAGGGTAAAATAGCTTAACTTTGAGACGTGCCTCAAAATGCACACTATCGTAAAAGTAATATATCTGAAGCGTTTTTGGGGCACTTGCGGTTGACGTCCTGGGGTCAGGGTTAAACGTTTTTCCTTCGCTAGCCCTGCACAGAGCTCTTCCAAATGAAATGTGTGTATGTTGTGTGTTCCGAAGAGGGGGGGAGAACGGGGCCAGGGATGATGATGATCCTGATTTCCCCCGGGGGCCACATCTGCCCTCTCCGAGAGCCCCATCCTGCATTCCAGGAGCATTCCAGCAGCAGCAGCAGCAGCCAACAGCCCCCTCCTCAGACAGACACCTCCACCCCCATCTCCCCCATAACACCCACAAGTGTTCACAACGTCAGCTGAAACAACCCAGATCGCCTTGTTCTTCATTGCTCCGTTTTGATGTTTCTAGAGTGGAACGTCCTTGTCCGCAACTCCTACAGAGCCCTCTCAGCGATGCGTTTAAAATAGCTTTATAATGCAGCCAGATACAATGGCCCTTGCATTACATAGATTTCAGCTTCTTGGTTCAACAACAAGAAATATGCAAAAAAACTGCAGGCAAATTTGGCAAAATGTGTCTAAATTTGAGCACCTTTTGAATGTGAAGACCCATTGGAAAATCTTGTTTTAAGGCAGTCAAAATGTGCTCAAAATAATATATAAACCCCTTGATTTAAGCATTTATCACCTCATATCTAGTGCAGGTCGTCATGAAGTCACTTATTGTACAGTCTGCCAGAGGAGGGGATGTCAATCAAAGCTCTTTCATACAAATTATGGGAAATTCATTCATGAAACACAACCAAACATGCGTATTGATGTATCACATGAACCATGCCCCTCCAACAGGTTTTCAGCGTCTTGTTCCAAGGACTTTTCCCTCGTTAAAAGTTTTTTCCCTGTGTAATGTGTAAAACTGGAAAACTATGCAGAAAGTTCTAAATTCGGCATTAGAACTGATTTTTTTTGTCAAGCCGAACGGTAGGCATGCGATTTGCAAACACACTTTAAAAAAAACCCCAGACTATGTTTGATATTTGTTAGAAATTGTGCAAACCTGTCAAAGGAATGTTCTGCTCATGTATTCAACTGTCAACAATTACCGCTTTGTGATCACTTTGGAAAACCATTCAAGACTATTTCAACAGCTGCTTTCCAGGGAACTGGTTATTTCCCACTAGAATTTTTTTTATTTGACACCTATGGCTCATTATTGCATAGTTAGTGCATTTTAAATATCATATAGCTCTGCACTCTGCCCCTATGTGATTAAAAGGCCTGCCAGCTCCTCTCTGATGCAGATCAAGTTAGCAATAGGTGGATTTTTCTCAACCTGAACCATTTTCCAGACATAATGATAAAGAGATGTAGATTCCAGCTCATGATTCCAATTCAGAAAAGAAAAACAGCAAAGTATGTAAAATCAGTGCGCTAGATGGCAGTTCTTGTCTCATGTGAACCGACGAGGATATCAGCGAACCACATACAAAAGCATAAGAGTTTTGACATTTATAAAGCAAATTCTACCACTCCGATCTACCCACCTCCGCATTTCACCAGGAGTAGTTTAGGAGGCTGTCATTTCAAGAAACTCATTCCTCGCTCACTCCATCTCCGTGGGATTTCAGGCATTGTTAATAAAGGCATCTCGCATGTCTCGCTAACGTCTTCCGCAGCAGGATAGGGGACGTGTGTGTGTGTGTGTGTGTGTGTGTGTGTGTGTGTGTGTGTGTGTGTGTGTGTGTGTGTGTGTGTGTGTGTGTGTGTGTGTGTGTGTGTGTGTGTGTGTGTGTGTGTGTGTGTGTGTGTGTGTGTGTGTGTGTGTGTGTGTGTGTGTGTGTGTGTGTGTGTGTGTGTGTGTGTGTGTGTGTGTGTGTGTGTGTGTGTGTGTGTGATGGGGGAGTAGAAGCGTGCACTTGAACATCTGTGCTCTGATGGGAAATAATGTTGCAACTTCTGGTAAAAAAGGATATCTGTCACACGTGGAAGTATCAGCAGGAAAGCCCCTACACAACACTTCATCTGTCACTCTACCCCAACCCAAGCCCCTGTGATTAAAAAGCCTAGACAGGGGAATATAGCTGGAATTTGCAAGAAAAAAAAACAGTCAAAATTCCAAAGATGCTTCAGCTTTCGTTTCGCAAGAAGGGTCACGGAAGATGTCCAGAGACTGCAAAGTCTACAAGTCGAGCTAAAGTCACTGAATTAGGCATCATCAGTAGCAACAAAAAGGCTAGTCAATAAGCCATTGATTAGCTTAGCTTTGACTGCAAGTATACTAGCCGCGGTCTTGTTTACGTTAGCAGATAGAATGCTAAGAGGCTTTTGCTTTCAGATAACTTAGGGGTCATGTCAAATAACATTTTAGCCTGTGGCGAAGAGAGCTGGTCAAATTGGTGCTTTGTGAATAGCAACATGTTAGGAAATACATATTTTTTCATCTCTGTTTTGTTTACTTATATGCAAATTTGTTGACTAGAAAGAAAAGTTATTTCCGCACACAACTTTCTGATGAAACTAGGTTGTCCCTCCACCTCTCTCAATACGGGCCTCCCCAGGGTTTCTCACCTTTTTCCCCACTGTTTTTTTATTGTTGTTGTTGTTCCTTGCTGATGCAGGATGGTCTAAGGACAATCATGATCTGGGACATTTAAGGACATTTATGAGCATTAGCCATCCCTCTCCCTATGGACCAATGGCTCTTATGTGTTTGTTAATATTATATTTTCTGATTCGCTGATCTGTTGCTGAGGAATAAACAACTGTGTGCAGTCCTCCAAGATGACTGGTGTTGTGATTTAGGGCTGTGCAAAAATAAATGTCATTGAATTGAACCCAGGACCCTCTGTAAAGCACAAGCACAAACCAATGTGCCACTGTGCCACCCGATATGTGATTTTCCTTCAAAAAATATTTTCAACAGTAAATAAAAGATGTATTGAAACCTTTTTTACCGACAACTGACAGCCGGACTTTATGGGCTAATATCCGCCACCATCATTACAACCTTGGGATCACTAATGAAAAAATATCAGCCTAGACAGACAGAACTAGTCAGGATGGCCCTCTCCATACAAGCTTTTATCACACGCCATAAATCAGCCATCTTCTAATTGTCCCGGCTTCCCCGCTCTCTGACAATCTGCTCCTTGACAACTGGCCCATATAAGTGACAAACTGCGCCCCCCACAACTGTCGTCCTGGGCAACAGCGACGTTTGTCAGGGGCCCCCGAATTTGGCACGGTGTGAGCTTTTGGCTGGGAGGTTTGATGGCGAAAGGTGGAATGCCATATTTTACTCCAAATCTGAATTGAAAGAATGTGGTACGTTCCTTTGGTTTTGGAACAGGGAAACAAATGAATGGTATGATAATAGCACAGTCTTTGGAGAGGGGGGTTTAGAAAGACTCCAGACGTCTATAGGCTTTCCATGGATTGTCAGGAAACAGCAGCAACAGATGGGAAACATATTTGATTATATGTTTAAAAAGAATCTGAAACACTAACAATATCAAGTTTTTTAAAATGGGAAACAACACAATATTAAATTGGAAAAGAAAAAAAGGTGTCTAATATATAATGACGTATAACAAATACAGTTTCATATGTATTGAAGAAAACAATATTCTTCCGTCTGCTATATGGCTACAATCTGTGACAGACGCCAAAAAACATAAATTTGCAATCTACATTCTTTAATCCATCCAGACCTGAATTAAAAATAGTAACAGCAGAAGTAGCTGATTACGAGTTACAGTCACTTGTTTAGGATTTAAAAAACAGTACAGAAAGCATGAGATGTCGCCCGAGGTAATAGTTTGTCAATATATTTAACATATTTACCATACCAGTATTTTTGCTGTAATTTTTTAATCTTTGGTATTCTAAATATGAAAAAAAAACGATAAAGCTATTTCGAAAAGTACTCTGTGTCCATCCCGCCATACTGCTCTTTGCTCTGCTCCCTATTTACAAAACCGTGGACGTCTTGGTGGCGGTGGTCAGAGGATCCGATGGCGCCTCAAATGTACAATAATCAAAATTACTCAAGCATGTATGGATCGCTCAACTTGTCAACTTGTAAGTAACTTGTGAGTAAAGACAGAAAGCAGATATAACATGGTAACATTATCACCCCCTTTAAGGTGAACGCACATGCACTCCATTTAACTCAAGCTAACACGCATCAATCTTGCCCGAGTCAAGACGGGGGGTGAGTTTCGCTTATAGCCGACAGAAGGTGGGGAGCCAAATTATGCTGAACAGGGCTGCGGCAATATCCCCAACCGCTGTAGAAGCGATGCGTCACCGCCACCACTTCTCATCCCGGCGGCGGCATTAGAGCAAGAAGAATGGATCCTGGCTGAAACCTTGGCTCGATATCGTCTGAAACAAAGGCCTCATTGTGATGTGGCTCTCCTCCTCCCTCCTCGCCACATTCATCCCGCTGTTAATCCTTTACACATTACTGCCGCTGCACGGTAGGCCATTAGGACGGGAGCATTACAAAGCAACAGTAATCTGGTGCACTCCCACGTTCAATCAGCAGAAACAGCCGCGAGGAAGAGGAAGTCTGCACGCATCTGCAGCGATATCCGACGGCTGGGGTGACGCTGCAAACGCGAGCCACCGACGATTCGAGAATGAGGTTATTTTTTCCGGACTTTTTGAATTTGAGTTGATTTGACTGGATGTGAGTGATGGCATTTCACGGGTTATGCTTTCTGTCACATTTATTATTTTGAGACATGTATTTGAAAGGCATTTTCTTTCAAACCTGATTGACCAAACATTCTGAAACATAGCTGGTTAGTTTTCAGTTTTCTCTAATACAAAAGAGCAAATGTAAAGAGCCCACATTTAATTGGTAAATATTTGGAGGAGAGTGGAACCACATTCAAAATATTTATATGAAAACGTATATTTTGAGACAAGATACACTGTAAAAACACAATGTTTACGCAATTTTCTTCATACTGCCTGAAGTTAAATCTTTCTTGTTATACAACTTTTATTTCTACCGTCACAATAGATTTTTGCTCAATGCTTCAGAACTGAATGGGTCAAACGTTTTGGCTATCCTCCCACAGGTTTATCATAATAGCTGGCAAGAATTCTGGCCCATTCCTCTCCATACAGGATGAGTGTACTGGAGTGACAAGATAATACTATGGGGACACATTGGGGGGAATTACATATCTGAATCTGGTTTAGAGCACTTCCTGTAGCTGCCAATACCCGCTTATTCCAAACCAGACCAGTCTATTCAACTTGAAAATCAATAAATCTATTCATACATCTTGACCCGTCTGTCCTATAATGTATCGTACGTGACTGCTATTGAAAGCTGGAAGAATAAACCTTACTACATGGTCAATAAAAGCAATTGCAAGCGTAGCCTATTCACCCACTAACATCAGTGCAATTTCAGAAAGTGTACCAAGAGTAGTTTTGCGTATCGACCTGTGGGTAATACAATTTGCAGAAAGGCTCCAAGTTAAAAGTAATTATTCGAGCAGCGGTGTACTTCCAACCCCGCATATCGTTCCATTTGATTTTATTTACCTCGCCCGGACTGTCCTTTGCGATGCATTATTGTCCTGCCTGCGAGGGAGAAAGCATGGATTTACAATTAGCTATAACGGCAGCTCCCGTCCATCTCCGCAAACAGTGGTAGAGCGGTCGGTAAACGTTTGATGAGACAATCGCTGGGAAATCTTTGTTGGGTCTATACAGAGAAAGGCTGACCGTGGGGTTAAAGAGATCTGACCGCGAAAACAAAACTACAGGAGGCTATTGAGAGCGGATCTATAGACACAGTGGAGTGGTCAGCAGGGGAAGGCAGATGGGAAAAATAAGGCTGTATGAATGTGGATGTGGGATAGACTGCAAAGGAGTGGTGATACAAATGGATTGGACAGGGGCTGTTCAGTGGTGTCCTGGTGTCATGTCTGGATTAAGATACATGGAAAAAGCGCGGCCGGAAGCCTGTGGTTCAATGCACACGCAAGAACAAAATGCAATCTGAAAGCGTGACAAGTGTTGAGTTTGAATGTAATATTTGGAATCTTGTCTGTCACTCTTGAGAATCCATGTGTTCCAGTCAGGTCAAACAAGTCAGTATTTCAAATAAACATGGCGCACGTTTGTGTTTGAAAAAAATAGTGTCCAGAATTGTTGTACTTATTTCTCAACTGAACTTAACAAATGTTTGATTACTGGTTCTGCTTCAATCAATCATAATTATTTGGATCCTGATCACTTCAGTGTCTTCAGATTCAACTGGACTCAATGAAATGGTTGGAATCTGCTGATTGGAATGAAAACCAGCAGCCACCACACAGGACCTTTCTGGACCACTGCTTTACCCATAATACCCAAAATAATAAAGTGAGAGATGGGTTATTACATGCAGTGAGCGGTACTGGATGTCTGCATTACAACCATGTTACAGCCCAAGTCAAGGCGTCGTAATAAAAGTTTCAGCGTTTGAACAAAATGCCAAATATTCAGACAATCAACACAGTGACCTTTATGTCTGCTTATTCACGCATTGCATTCAGATGAGTGAAGTGTCTTGTGCAAGGACACAAAACTAGTGGTGAATGATCCAAACACAGAAATACTGCGGCTAACATCTCTCCAAGACAACCAACTTAATGTGTCATCATTCTACGTTATCTCTTGTTATGATAATTAAAATAATGTTGGTTTAATTTATGTTTCGTTAAAGTCTCATTAAAACCAGAGAAAAGTCTCCCCCAAAATACCAGTGGTTTCTTGGATTACATCAGACGTGGAGGGACCAATGACGACAATCCCTGGAAATGTAATTAGAACGAGAAACAGATGTTCCAAGTTCATTACATTCTTTCCACTTGAAGTGTTGCATAATGAAAAGAAATTTTTTTTTTTTAAGTTGAAATTGTAACCCCAGCCTCTTGCACGGCAATGATCTGCACACCGCCCACACTTCTAATCAGCCCAGCGGGAGATGGCAAAGACTCTCCAGCAGCCTGCAGCCTCAGCCTCCAGCAGAGCCCGGGGATGAGCTGGGGTAAAAGAACGTGCTCTAGAGCCAGGTCTTTGTCATGGATGATGCACATCAGGTCAGATCAGTGAGAAGTCTAGGACGGCAGCTACATATGGACCAAGCTCAAAACCATATCTCATGGGCAGAAAAAAAAGCACACCCAAGCACCATCTTTTGAAACTTTGAAGTCGGTTTTTGAGGGTGAGGTGAGGCTTAGAGAGCTAAGGCGTGTGATCATATTATATTTTTGTCAACAGGAAAGACTCTGAGGTATCGTCGGTGTACCGACTCTAAACAGGATAGTTTTTTGGAGAAGAATTCACGGTGTAATGTTCAGACTTTGGGGGTTTTGCAAAGACAGTGATGGGAGGCAACTGTGCAAAACAAAGTGGATTTTTAAAAGTAAGGACACTGTATATTATTGATTAAGGATGCACTCACACTTTTGAAGAGGACTGTAGTTGACACAGAGATGATGGTATTAACAGATTACGGCCAAACTAACAGATTGAATAATACACTGTATGATTATAACAACTTTAACATTTTTATGCATTATCAATAACAACAGGTATTGTTTTCTAGCATCACTTGTTCTAGTGGCTGAAACGTCACAAATTTAGAATAACTTTAGTTAAGCTTGCACAGTCAATCAGCGCTCAGGCCAAAGTGACATCTGCCGAACACAGTTTTAAAGGCAAATGAAGATGACTGATTTATTTTTGTTTTTTTACTTGTATTGAATGTCATCTGTACATGAGGCATAGAACCCCCGATTTTGCACAAAAAAATATATATTTTGATTCCAATAATCATGCAGCCCTAGAACCCACTAACGTCTGAACTAAAGCTTGCTAAAACAGGCAGGCACTTAAAGGTCAAAGGACGGGAAAAAATAGCCTATTGTGGAAAGAAGCCTTTCTAAACACAATTGGGGTTTTTTCAATAATCCACATTCAGTCATCGCCTGCAGTTGTGTCCATTGTCTCCCAGTTCCAAGTCACAGGAAGGACAGGGGCACGATTGCCAGGAAAAAGGCCTGAAACAACATTACACACTTCTCTCACTCTTGCTGTGATTCCAGGCAGACAATTCTAACACCGGATTATTTTACTTTTGCACCTGGAATAGAGCAAAGAGCTGACTTCACCCAAGCTTTCTGCAGCCAAACACACTTGGAAAAACTCTCCGGACATCCAATAAGGCAGAGGAGACATTTACCACACTGTCGGAAGGCATCAACCTCCCAAAATCCGATACCTGCGGACTTTGTGGGGAGTTTTTGGGCTAGCATTGTGGATTGAGTGCTAATATGGTTTTGATCCAGTCCCAAAAACAGCCAGACTGAGGTCAAGGACGCCCGGAACCAGCCACCTGTCAGCAAGTGGAGGCAGGGGAGGGATTAGGCCACGACGCAGGGGAGTGGGGACAGATTTGAAAGCGACACGGCTCAAGATGAGCAGAGGCATCTGGAGAACGGCCGAATACCGTGTTTTTGCGCAACAGGAGAGGTGAGAAGAGAGATTGGTGTGAAGCCAAGACATAAGGTAGCAATATGCGTACATCAACTTGGGGTCTTTTCAAACTGCTTGAATGCCATGTCTAGCCGGGACAACATTGTGAAAGGTCACCGTATTGTTTTGACATGTGTCAGCTTTCCACCACAGGAAAGACAGAAATGCGTCAAAAATAAATTGATCAAAACAAATGTTCTCCTTTTTTCCTACATTCAAAATATGTCTTAAGTCACTGCGCAGTGCACCCAGGACCCGAGGGAATAGCATTATAATGGACTACGGCAAGTTATCATCCACGAGGAGCAACATGCGCTGCGGCTGTAAAGTGCCAAACTGTCGTTGTGTGCAAGACACTTCATTGGCGTGTGTGTGAATGGTTGGTGGTGGACAGGAGGGGCCGATGGCACATGGCATGGGGCTCACTTCTGTCAGTGTGCCCCAGGGCAAAGCATCTTTGAGTGTCCAAAAAAGCTCTATTTAAAACGGATACATCATTGAAAAAGCAACAAAATAAATTCAAATGGAAGATTTTCCGATAAAATTCCAGTAGACTTCAGCCATTTGTATTTTTTTTCTCACTCACCGTACCTGTAGTGATATTGTAGTGATATAGAGATATCTGGCATGAATAGAGGGATGAGATGTTGGTCAGCTTCAGCTCCTTGTGCACAGTATTGTCCCTGATTGTGATATGTGTGTAGTTTTTTAAACATTCTTCACCTGACCAACATATAAGCAACAGAATATAACACAGTTTGCTTTAATCTCTATCTAGATTAGATTTATACACACCTCACCAAAAAGACTAGGTCATAAGACATATTTTTTGGCCGAGATGTTTTTTCACACAAGCTCAGTATTTTAGAAAAGGGTACGCCCAGGTTTTTGGACTACTGTAAATAGCATGTTTTTGCTTTTGAGAGCCATTTCCCATATTAAAATCAATGTAATCAAAGTTGGAGTAATCTGTAATATTTGTTCTCCCCCAGAGGCCATTGCTTCGACTATCCCCACTTTCACCTCCACGTATTACCATAACGTGAATATTTCAAAATTTTTCATCCACTTCTCAGCTTCGAAAAAATGGGTATGACTGTTTTGCTAGGACCTTGGGCACGTGCATGTTTTGTAATCGGACCACTTTCTCTGACGTCCAATGCTGTTAGCTCAACAAACAGCCCTGAGTCACCATGAGTCGCATTTGGCATTTCTTGTGTCATGTCGTCGCTGGGTTTGGAAGGCTGAGAGGTGAGAACAAGTTCAGGGGACACGGACATGGCACCACTATGGTTTTATTGTGTGAATGATTTTAGTGGATACACACTGTATGAAAAAAAAGTCACTAGAAAATTGTTCAGATTTGTATTTGAGCGGTTTTGTTCTAAAAGGATACATTAAAAGCAGCTTGAAATAAAACAGATAATTTGGAATTCACGGCACAAACACATGCGTCCCATCCCCTCACGAAATACTTATTAATTAATCTTGCCTATCACTTACATATCTCTAACTGGTCTATCTTTATGCCAAAAACAAGTGGTTCCCAACCAACTTATTCCAGCTAGTTTACCCATTGAAACGTAAACGCAAATATAAAAAGTTAGAGAATAGAATCAATAATAAACTGCTTTTTTGATCCAAATAACATGTCATATACAGTAGATTCTAAAAATGGGAACAACTGGGAATTTTTGGGGACCCGACATCTGTCATAGACATAGGTGTGAATATCTTTTCTGTTGGTTTAAACACAGTCAAATTGATGAATAGAAGGACATTTATTTATTTCATAAAGAACACGACATTTAACAGATGGAGACATATCTTGTCAAGTCCATTCAAAAAACACAGTTAAAAGAATTGAGTCTTTAGTTTATTCTCCAATGAGCTCAATGTGAAAGTACATTTGTCATTGCACAGGCAAATGGGATTGGAAGGTTGAGGTCCGAGCATTCATAAATCAGAAATATATAAAGGTGCCAGACTGGGGGAGAGCTTTAAAAACATGCATAGGGAATTTCATCACTGCCAACTAAACAAAGTCTTAACAAAAGTTTCCACACAGTCTATACATTAACAAAAAACAAAATCACGTATTTGTCTTTGCATTCCATTTAATACCAGCTGCGCACTTTCAATACCCCTTTCTTTTTCTGGCAGTCTGTTATGACTAATAATGGTCTTAAGAATTCAAGTCAAATGAGAGTGTGCAGCGCCTGACTGTGTGATGAAAATGACTATGTGTGAAGTTTAGCGCATTCTCAAACTCGTGCTGTTCTGATAATGGCCTGATTGGGGGGAGACTTGAAAAGACGGCAGAACTATTGACCTCTGCGGCACAGCTTGGCACGTCTGACACGGCATGGAAGGGAAATGGGATGAACGACAACTGTTAAGTATTCTACAAAATCATGACATCATTGGAAAAAGTGGCCTAAGGTAGAGTGTGTTCTTCTGGCTTGTTAAAATGGGGAAATGTTGAATATGTATTTTTTTTAAGGGAACAAGCTAAAAGTATCTTACAAGCCAAATTCTCGTAATAATCCTCATTTACCGTTGGAAAAAGCGGCCTAGAGAAGAGCGTGTTCTTCTGGCTTGTTGAAATTGACAAACATTGAACATGTAAAAAACCAAAAAGGACTGGCTAAAACCATCTACACGCCAACTTCACACAATAATCCTAAATAACCACTGTGAAGGCTTCATATTAAACTGGGGATAGTTCAAGGGTTAATGCTTTGCCATTGAAGTGATAAGATAAAAGTTACTGGCTCTACTGGGAATGGATTCTTCTATAAACTATGGAAGTAATAAGCAATGTCGAAATGTGCAATATAAATAAATAAAAAAGGACATTTTTAATGACTTTTTGAGCTGAGGCCCACAATGAATCCTCGGTCAAAAAGTAGATGAGATTTTTTTTTCAAAGTTATATTTTCTTGGATTATAGTCCTAGGGATGTTCCCACAACGACACTGGCTCTAATACTGCAACTTTTACAGGCATCAGTATTGGCGAATACTGTGGCCGAGTACTCAAAATAATGTCAAAATAATCTGATAACTCCATCAAAAACACTTAGTCAGATAAGATTTGAATTTAAAGATATGACAGAAGAATAACAAGATTACAAATATTCAAGTGTGACTATATAGTTTTCTCTTCAATATTAGTTTCACTGTGAAGTTCTATTTGAGTTCAACATAATTATTTTGCATAACTGATCTCTTATGATGTACCCACCACCTATGGGACAAAGAAGCAGTATCAGAAGTTCCCCATTTATGTCTTTATCGGTAAAGATATATCATTTTTTTTACTGCCTTTGTTCCAACATGTAAGTCAATATTTGTATAAAGCCAATGGCCATCATCAGGGTGTAATGTTTGATATGAAGAGATTTTGACAGGTCATGGGGGTTGGTCTGGTTCCAGCTTCAGATTGAAGATTTCTCATATTCTTCTAGACACATATTTGAAGAAACTAAACGACATTTTCAAATTTTCTCTACATACTTATGCATTATTTCATTACTCTATAGCACCAGCATGACTTCAATGTTTTCCCTTTTACACAGCACATATGGCAACCTGTGTAACCATCCCAATCACACGCCACGCTGTGAATGGGACCTTGCAGTGGTCATCCGTCCTCCTGACCGCGGCATCCAAGGACAATTCCGCCTTAAAAACCCACCTGCCACGCGCATCATGCACCATTTCCACACTTTATCAGCGTCTTTTCCACACCCACACATTTCGGCGCGCTCATCTCCCACCCACTGTTTAGCTCCATTCACAAATGCAAAAATGTAAAAAACACGGCAGGCTGCAAACACAGATTTAATTAGCTGATTTAATTAACTGATTACCCAAAGTTCTATCTCGACGCTACGAAACGGCAGACAACATTATTAATCCCTGCGCAACGAGCTGCACTTCCCACACGTGGCTGAACCTCGCCAGGCCGACGTGGCAAAGGGTTTGTGACTCTTTGTGCGTGCGGTGTCGGGCTTGTTTTGTTAGCTGCGTGTGTTTTAGAAATGCTTGTTAATGCAGATAGCTTTAATCGCACGGCTACGTTTGTGTTAGAGCTGCCGATGAATAAATTAGCGAGGGCAACAGATGGGATTCTTGCAAGAGAAGTGAGGGCAGAAAGTCAATTAATGTTTTTTTAAAAGAACAAATGTTATGTTCGGTTTGTTTCGGGGCATTTTGATAGTGCTTAAGACAAGGTAATATTTACTTAGAGCTGGGGTAGCCAAGTTTCAAGCCGCAAATTATTAGAACTCCTCGCTCAGAGAACAGATGGGTTCTATCAGTAGTTTTCACATGCAGACCTATAGAGGACCACCCTTAAATCATATCTCAGCCCAAAGAGTCAAATCATGTATGGGGAACTTTCTTACATGTTTTATGATAAGATAAACTTTATTGGTCTCAGTGGAGAAATTTACAGATGAAGAAAGATGAAAACGGCAAGGCCACGTTTTCTGTTGGGACAAAAACAATGTATTAATCATGGTAAAAATAAGTTGGATACCCCTGATTTAAGTTGAAAGCATTTGGAGATATGACAAGCGGGGTCCTTCTGGTGGAGGTGTCTGGGGAGAGGCCAGTCTGGACAGCACTTATTGTCTGAGAGGACCTGGGTTGGTGACTGCTTGTGAATATTGCATTGTCTCCTGTGGAATCTTGAATGTTTGAAAAAAAGACTAGTTCAAAGTGAAGGGCTGACTTTCAAGGATAGAGATAGAAAGACAAAAGAAACAATCGATACTGGAAACTTCTTGATTACTGCCGATGGATGCGGTGTAAGAAGTTGCTCTCAGTATTGCGACCCATGAACTGCAGATAATAAGAAAAAGGGCTCAGTTTAGGATTGGTAAA